ATACACATGCATGGCCAGTAATGCAGCTGGGAGTACTAACATCTCTACTAATCTATTCATAAGTCCAAGGTTTCTTATCAGGCCACAGGATGTTCGTACACAAATCAGATTTAACGAATCTCTCACATGCGAAGTAGAGTCTTACCCAGTCCCTAGTTACTCTTGGATGAAAGAAGGCAATGTTGTTGGTCCTAGTGATTACAGGTATCCATTCTATCCTGTTGAGTTTGGGGATGAAGGAGAGTATACTTGTATAGCTACCAGCAATTCTCTGAGCATAGACTCTTCCGCTATAGTTCATGGTAAGCATTCTTGACTCTAAAAACTTGTCAAATTTATATCACAAAAAATTAACATGATATAAACTAGATTTTTAACCTAAAAATTGCATTTCTGTACAATTGTATTGAATATGTACTTCTTTATAATCACAATTTATTCTTGTGTAGTCTCACCTCTACATAGTGCTAGGACTGATCCTAATGTCACTAATTCAGTTGTTAATACACCAGTCACATTCAACTGCTTATCTCTTGGTGGACCAAACAACATGTATTATTGGGTCTATGACCGCACTAGTGAGAGATTATCAAATGTCAATGAACTGAATGTTACCAGTCATGCTAGTCGTGGTGGGTCTTATACTTGCACTGTAGGGAATCAGGCTGGTTATGATCATGCCATTTCTACACTTAATGGTAAGCCAATACACTTTATGCATTATAGTTTACCTTCTTTAAATTGTTGTTATTATCCTTATTGTTTAAATCATTTTTTGTTTTTTGTTGCATGTTTTTTGAAAACATGATGTTGTATCACTAATTATTAATTTATCACTAAAATATCATTATATTTTTAAAAAATCTCTTACACTTTCTCTTCTTTCTTGTTCTCTTAGTTGCTCCTGAGATACTCATTCATCCTAGTCCACAAAATGTGACACTAGCAGTTGAGAGCATAACCCTCTACTGTCTGGTATCCGGTTATCCTTTTCCTCAAGTTGAGTGGTATCTCAATGATACTCAAATCCTTCCCCAGTCTGATACTCGTGTTACAATAACAACAGTCAATAATCCAACCTTGATACCAGGCTATGATTCTATGGGAGAGTTTTCAGGTTCTGGTCTCTCTGACTTTGGCCTTGGATCTGGTGGAGATAGCTTGGACATTCGGAATCCTTTTGGGGTTAATCTCGACGTAGGTGATATAAAAGACCCGTTTGGTACTGTTTCAAGCCAGCTGGTTATAAAGGACACTACAATATCAGATTCTGGATTGTATCATTGTGAAGGTGTTATTGACAATTTATTCGATGATAAACCCAGTCAACCTGCTTTGGTCCTAGTACAGAGTAAGTGCTGATTGCTGAATATAAAAAGCTAGATCTAGTTTTTCCCATTAAGTTATAATGTGCTTCCACCTATTTTATATTAATTATTGCTATAATACTACTATTTTTAATTAAGTGGCTTTTATACTATAGTGCTTAGAGCAGAC